AACGTGGTCATGGAAACCGGATCGGTTGAGGAAGACATGATGAAGCTGGTGAAGATGAGTTAGCAGTTGATCGAACTCTTCTTTTGGGTCTGGATAGTTGCCCCTCTTACATTCAAGTCTTTCTCTAGTAGCTCGCTAGTTCGCTTTGCTGCCTCGTCGCTCTGCCGGATTGCCCAAAGACCTGTGTTGTCGGGAGTAATGACGATGCGGGTAGAAGTTGGGCTGGCAGACATTGTCAAGTGATGTTATCGTAATACAATCAAGTTCGATGCAGAGTTAGGTTTAATCATGCGTGCGCTCTAAATTGAGTCTAGAAATGAGTGACGACCTGACTGCTTACAAATGTATTCAAGACTAAGATCAGGGCATCTATCGGCACCCATTCGGTGAATGCAATGAGTCATAAGCGATCTTGAACGGGGTCTCGGAGGCTTGATTCAGTTTTCTATATCGAATTATCTCGCATTTCCCGTCTTTCCTTTTGTTTGATCGATGATCTTCTCTAGCAGATTCAATTAAAGTCAAACAATATTGTAGTTTCCAATTCTCGGGCTTTGTTCGTCTCGCAAGATGCCCCGCCTTGATCCCCGGGTGTGGGACCCAATAAGCACAGTGATTATGTGATCAGTAATTCGAACCAGCCTACTGGTCCAGGCTACCTAAGTATTGACTCTGAGTTGGAGAGCTGTTCGCGACTAGCCGACGGCTTCAGTTGGGACCTTCGCCTTTGCCCCGATCCTGTCGGCGACATACTGTCAACACAAGGATGGCATAGATTCTACCCTTCACTGAGTTGATCTTTCGGTCGCTTGCCCCAAGTTCGACCCTCGATCGTTGTCATCGCCCTCGGTGAGACCGCTCTCGTACTTGTACGTCTTCCTGTTAATATGACTGCATAATATCAGGCAAAATCAGTAGTCGGCATTTATTTGAATGCGATAAGTGAATAGCCAATACGGCATTCAGTGATTTCTTAGTTAAGTAGATTTTTATACAGAAGACAAGAGCATGCCTGTCACCGGCCTAGGGTAATTAGCTAGGAAAGTCTAGTTGTACACATATGTGGTAGATGTCTCAATAATTTACATAAGGTAAGTCAGTATGTAAGACTGAGCCATTGAAATGGTTCCTAAGATCCCTAAGACTCAACCTTGGCACCTCCAGGCACCAGCTTTGTGAAGACAAGGTTCGGGTCATACTTCGCCCTGATTTCCTTCATCTTCTGCCAGTTTCCCTCACCATAGCCAGGAAAGACATCATTGCTCTGGGTCTTCTGCGCGGCGCTGAGGAAAACAAAAGGAAGAAGATCGGAACCGGCAGCGCTAATATTCTTTTTGATGTCCTCGTTCGCTTTCTGGTGAGCATCGAAGACCGTCTTATCGTCCTCGGCGTCGGGCCATGAAGCGCTCTCGACCAACCACATCTGAGGCTGGTATTCCTGGCCTGGAGTCACGAGAGGGTTCCCGCCGTTGTCCTCACTCTTCTCTAGAAGACTCTTGGTGATAGGCATGATGGCCAGGGCTGTGAAAAAGCCCGGAATGTTGTCAAGCTCGGCGATACCTTTGAAGTACGAGTCGACGAAAATATTAAAGAGATCAGCATCTGCGGGTATAGAGACTGAGTGCCACAGCTGCCTCCTGCCGGTATCAGAGGCATAATCGACGGCGTTGGACCATGTTCCCATTGTCTGGCGGACTACTTCTCCTCCAGTGACCGGAAGAACTGGTGCCGTCAAATTAATCAGGCCGGGAGCAGTGAAGTTCTGAGGGCCGACTTGAAGCTCTTCTCCACTGTGGAAGATGAAGGCGTCAAAAGTCTTTTGCGGGCTAGTCGAAGGGCTCCAGCGAATCTGGCCCTCCACGGCAGTCTTGGGGTCAAAGTCTGCGTAATGCGCAAAGTCCACCATACTTTTCAAGTACTCTGTCTGACTTTCTGTTCCATAGGACACGGAGCCGACGTCAATAGCAGAAACATTGAGGGTACGGAGGTCGGCCCGTGTCACGATGCAGAAGTTATTTCCACCACCTCGCAGCGCCCAGAAGAGATCCGAGTTCTCCGTAAGACTGGCCTCGACAATATTTCCATTTGCAAGTACACACTTGGAGAAGTCAGCTTCCAGATTCTTATCAGATTTCAAGGCAGGGGTGGTACCTGGAAAGCCTGAACCTCGGTAGACACAGAGCCATGCTCGTAAGAGAAGAATCCGATTCCGCCACCGAGTAGCAGGCCAACGACACCAACATTCCCAAGACGAATGCCGTCGACGGTCCGATTGAAGTTGTCGAGGTAAGCATAGAACTGTGGCCAGCGGATACCAGGTCCCACCGACACCAGGCTATGGTCATCATTGATATCCATCATAATCATGTTCGTGCTGGATATCAGGATGCCTTCTGGACCAATGTTTGCCGCATTATCGACAGTCATGCCGCCACCGGCTCTGACTGCAAACGGTACGTTTGCTTTGGTGAACAGCTTGACCGCAATCGAGACGTCTTCCGCAGAGGACGGGGCAAATACGCAAGCGGGCCCAAGCCATGCGGTGGATGTCCACGAGTCTAGAGTCGAGTGTAAGCATAATACTACCAGTTTCTGAGTTGAAGTGGTTCATACAGGTGTTTTCAAAGTCATATCGACTTGTGCCCGGAAGAATAGTGGAATCAGAGTACAGCTTGCTCAAGGTATTGCAGACGTCTTGGGTCGAAGCTGATTGAGCAGTTACTGTCCCGACATCTGCTAGAAACGGCAAAAACAAAGAGAGAAGCATCGTGTTATCAGGAGCGAGATTTTCTGTAGGGATTGAAAGTTTCAGTCGAGGCTATTGTCCTTCCAAACCAACTTCTGGCATCGCGAGTTGCCTTCCATATTTATACAGTTCACCGGCCCTGGTGATGCCTATAATGTGGTTACTATCTTGAAATTGACGAAAGTATAATAAACATGCATGAACCAGCCTCAATATCCAAAAGTCTTGGTATGTCTATCTCTGCAGTGGTTAGTATGAAGCTAGCGTTGTACTCTATAGTCATGTAGAAACGTTACGAACCCGATCGCTACCAGCTGTTCATCGGATTTGAGAGCGTCCGTTGAGATCCCGGATCTCAGCTCCACAGATCTCCATTTCAACCATACAAAGCTGCGCCGATGTGCGCATATGAAGTGACTTGTTCTGGTGTAGTTCTCCCGCACGGTCGCAATGTCGGTTGCGCATTCGCATTGCGGACTCCGTTGCGAACAACAAAGGTGAGATTCCGCGGACTTGGCATCGGGTTGAACCCGAGCAAGGTCTGCGGAGTTATACGTCGAAATTGTATTTGATTTCGAACCCGCTATGACTTCCGATTTCGCATTAAGTCTTTATGACATATGCGCGGAGGTCCATTATCATGGTGCAGGTAATCGTGGACCTAGGATTTCCGGTTTTGACAGGTATGGCCCCATGCGAACCACTCATACTTATCCAACAGCACGAACTATCGACTTATTTATCCAGGGGAAATGAGTCAATCACCCAAGTCCCAGTTGCATATTCTCCCTGTACTGCTAACGAATAACCTATGTTAGGGAGGAACCCCCCCACTCAACGCCTTGATGCCTCCACCTCTTCCTCAGACATATCACAGGGCTCGTAGTATTTACTAACTAACTCGCTCAACTTTGGCTCCGAGGCTACGAATATCTTCACCTGCTTGCGCATGGCCATCGCTTCTTCTCCGACTTCAATTCCACTGGGAATACTGTCAGCCAAGAACCATGATTTCTCTTCGTTACCCTCGAAACAGATCTGTAGTGTGTAGTTGTTAGCCCAGTCGCTCATCCTCTACAATATGTCTGACCTGGCGGAGTTGTAAAGTATAGAGCAAATTCATTCAACATACTTCTGCCTCCCGCATGATGTCGTTCGAGGCGCACCATACTTCATACGGCTTTCTCCCGTTCGTTTCAATGAGTCGTGCAATGCCAAAAACTTCACAGAGAGTATCTGCAGCTTCGGTCTTTTGATCCGATAAATCCGTGGGCGCAGTGAGAAACTTGGCAAAGATACTCCGGATTCTATCTTCATCGGCAGTCTGCACAAGCTGTCTAAGGCAGCACTGCGTCTCTTCAATGGGTACTTGGCGCCACATGAAGTCGGTCATAGTATGGCGGTACCTCCACTCTAGGGCATCAGCATGCGAAGGGACTTTCGTTCGTAGTGCGGTCTACTTCGGTTTTTTAAGTCAGCGCTGGGAAACAACTTTTCATTATTGTCGTATGATTAATGATTTGTGGAGAAATTTTCTGCAGTCGGCAACAAGCTCTTACGATGAATAAATTTTGGAGCTCCTCGAGATGTTCGCACTGTTGTTCGGTGATACTTCCGTTTGTTGACGACATGGCCAACCTTGGAGCTCCGATCGGCACTTCGGACTTGAAAACAAGCTAAATTATGGTGGTAGAGTGTGTGACAAGAATCTGGGGGTGTGGTGTGTGCCATTTCAAGCATACATCAAGTATTCTATTTATGCACGCACATAATGATTAAGCCTCAGTAGTGGCTGCTGACACGACGAAGATGCACGATGTTGAGCTAACGACCTTAACTTCTTGTAATCAAACCCCGCAGATCCTTCGCTCTCGATGGGTCTTGACACCACTTGATTGGCGGCAGTGATCAAAGAAGGCAACTCAGCAAGGATGAAACCCACATGATTCGAAACACACAATCATGTGCCATGTATAAGTTCTTTTGTCAATCTCTTACTTCCTGGAATTACGAGCCTCGTTCTCAAAACCTACAATATCCCATGAAAACTATTCTCTCAAGTAATCAAACATCTTCGCCGTGACTTAACCCAATGTAAACCAACATAAGTAAGACATGAACGCAGAATGCTCTTCGGTCAAAGAAAGTCTTCTCGAGTTTCATCTCGACTGCCCTTAGTTTGGACGTGACTTTCCAATAGCAACCATTTCATGCGACAACAGGAACAGAATGAGCCTATAAACAAGATGGGCCACTAGAGACGACTGGAATCACCTGAACGGCGCTTGGGAATAGGTGTATCCCGATAGGCTGGTGGCAGAATACCTGCGAGTTCAGCTTTGATCTGCAATGCCAAAGTCCGTGAATGCCATCGCTGAAGCCTCGTATCACCACCCATAACCCAGTAGTTGTCAAGCCGGGACTGCCGTTTCCACACTCCCCGAACCTCTCCTTCCAAATCGACACCCCAAGTTGCATCAAGTCGAGCGGCGATCTCTCGAGGTCCAAGGGTTCCGCTGTTTCCGTCTTGGTCTCCTCTTGACGGATTGTTAATGTCATTCGTTGTCGAGGCCCCCAGTATGTTTGCCGCCGTCGTACGCGCGTCTCGGTCAGCAAATCCCGTACACCACACCACGGCATCCGCATCAAGTGTGCTACCGTCAGAGAATTTGAGTCCAGTGGTAGTGAAGGCAACGGGCTCGACATTGGCTTTGACACCTGCTTTACCCTCGGCGATCAGCGCCGTGCCGCCCACATCGAGATAGTGTCCTCCAGCCTTTTCAAACAAATTGACCATCAAGCAGCATTCCGGTGAGCGGCTGTCTAAGACGGGGAATCCGGCTTTGGCAAGGGCGGCATAGCGATCCGGCTCTTGAGAGGCAAGGTGGGAGAAGTGTCCCCGCACCATGTGAGCGTCGATGTTAGTGGGCATCGCCATAGAATCCTTATCTGCTTCCACGCCAAGCTTCTCGTAATTTCCATGCGCTGCAGGATCGCACACGTACGCGACTGGGAAGATGTAAGTCGGGGAGCGAACAACCATTGTGGTCGCCAGACCGGCAGCGTAGCAATCCTCGAGAATGTCAAACGCGGTGTTTGCTGAGCCTACGACCAGAGCAGACTAGGTGGGAAAATACGGGTCAATCAAGTAATTTATCGCCGTCCGATTCGAAGCATTTGACTGACCTTGACACCAAGCATCTTCAAGTCTTTGGCGTTACGATAGACAGTAGAGTGAACACTGACACCCCGATAAAGATCAGCATCAGCCATATGCGGCATATGAGGCTTCTGCGATCCTATCCCTGTTGCTTGAACTATGTGCCTGGCCACCGCAACACGCTGACCGGTGGGTGACAAAAATGTCACTGTGTAGAGTTTTGAAGCCTGGCTATATGTTGTCGAAATAACCTTGGTCGAGTTGAGAATGTTCAGATTGAATATTTCCACGTATCGCTTCACCTGATTTGCAAGTTCCTCTCTGGTGAGGAAGTGTGGAAATTGCTGCTCTTTTGCGTATTCTGACCAAGTTGCTTAACGTTAGTATGATTCGAATACTCCGCGGCTCAAACTCAACACTTACCCAGGTACGCCATGGTGCATATTACTGTTGGAATATGGAACTTCATTGCGTGGTAGCGAAGAGCCCAGTTGTCTCCCGGGGTGGGGTTCCGATCGAGCATGACGCTCTCGACGCCCAAAGCCTTCAGCCGAGCAGCGACTGTCACTGCGCTACATCATTTCAAGTACACGTACTCGTTAGCTAATGTGGATTCGTTGAAGGTATCGATATTCCGTTCGAGCTTACCTGTTGCCGCCACCGATGATAACCACATCGGTTTCGAAATATTCGAGAATGCCCAGCTGCTTTGCAGGACCCCGCAACAAACTCAACTTTTCGGGATAGTGGACAAAGTCCTCAAGTCTGGTGCTCAATACCCAAATTTTCCAGCTCACTATCTTCTTATTCCCAGTTTGGCGCTTGTGGGGTAGGAGAATAATTTTGCCATGACAGTGGGCAGCTGGGGACGCTGTGCTGAATGTGAAATTACAGTCGATGAATTGCTTCGCGTCATGGACCAGTCAGTCTGTTCCCCAACGAATTGGCACGAATGAAGACTCACGAGGGTAGGAGTGACCGGCGCGAAACTCGCGACTCCATCAATTCTAATATCTGCTACTCCTCGGAGATTCTTTGTCTCTAAGAGACTGCTTGCAATGACGCTCGCCTGTTGGAATGTTCGAAGGTGATACGTTAGTGCTAGCTGATCCTTCCAGTATGCCTGCTCCGCGAAGAAGCAGTCTTCCAGAGCAGTCGCATCATTGGCCTTCAGTGCTGATGTGAGTTTTTCGAAGAGATCGAGGGCGATGCTGGTAGTCGTGCTTCCGGTCATGTTGGCAGGGTCTATCATCCCCTCGGGGATGATCGGAAGAGGTGTCTCGGCCATCATTGTACGTATATCCGCCTTGAGCGGGTATTCTTCATACACTTCAGCCATGATTTCTCTGCAGACTTTGTCAGCTTGACACAAACTTCACCTGGTCAAAAGAGAGGAGTGCTGAGACGCAAGATCTTGCCCCTAAGATTCTGTCCTGGTTGATGAAGCTTGGGACTGCCGCTAGCAAGTAGGTGACCAGGTGGCATGAATGAGGGGAAGTGTCTCATTCTTAGCTTTGTGACTACCATCTCAAAATGGGCAGAGATTCGTCCGATCCATTCTGTTCCAACGCGCCAACGGCCGTAGCCAATCGTGGCCGGCGAGCTTCCTGGCGGAATTGACGTCTCTCCGCGGCCGTCACACTAGAATATCACAGTGAGTAATAAATACAAGCAGCGACCGGAAGCGACCGGTGTTCGGTGTTCTCTGAATTCCTTCTTCTCCATAGCTTTCACTGCTGTCTGTGCGGAGAAGAAGCCGCTCGTCAGCTAGAGCTAGACTCCGAGACTTGTCCTTCCTCACCTTTCGCAAGGCGTTGTGTACATGCTCTATTCGTCCCTACTCTCGAATCAAACGCATCAGTCATCTGCAGCCGTTCACGCCTGAACTCTAGCCCTGCCGTAAACTCTCGTCTCTTGAACTGCGGAGCTAGTGTGTGGGGGTCTTGGGGTCACCGCGGTGTCCGTTCATCACGTCCATCGTATCATGGACAACTTCTGCATCGTAGGAATCGCGCATCTTTGTTTTCAACATGCTTTGACTAAATGGTCCTGTACTTGATTTAAGCTACACACAACACTTTTGCAATCTTCAATGTCCTCAGTCTTGACGCACTATTTTATCATGGCTCAGCCTACAGGTTGGACTGACGTCTGACAAGTACACTGAGGCAGATCCTTCTGTGAGAGTTTAGACTCTGCAAATACGTTTTCAATATGACTCGAGATCACTTGACAATAAAGCCCCACCGACCTTAGTTACAGGGCGTCAAAAGATTCTCATTTACCTACACAGTGTACAGACCCCGTGATTCCACGTGTTTGCCCTCGCTACGTTTCCAGCCCCGGGACAACAAGTCAGGATCGCGTCTTTCCTGGTTTGAAGGCCACGAGTCCTCTCCTCGTAGCCCCCAAGATGAACTCCCGTCACTACCAATCTCTCCAGACTCCTGTCTTCTGAAGTTCCGTATGAGGCTTGGTTCTCGTTGCAACGGGGGATATTGAAGCTCAAGAATCGTACCATCATGGCCCGATCTTGATATTTGTTCAGAACTGGGAAGACTCCGCTTTGGGATAGCTGACTTTGAACTTTCACTATCACTCGTATTTCCGATAGCCTTCCGGAAAGCCGCGGACAAATGTTGGACAACTTGATCGGAGTAGATAGCATAGCCTGCCAGGGGAATGAAGAAGGCAATCGAGACGGAGACTAGGTTCTCACCCTATTAGAAAAATCTAGCAGACATTCATTGACATAGACTTTCTTACAAATAACGACGAAAATCCAGCCTGGTGCCTCCATGAAAGAGTTCGCATCGATCGCGAACAGGGAAGTCAGAAATGAGAGCGGGAGCTGGAATGGAACACGTTAGTACATGTAATTAGAAAAGCTCGACTCTGGTGGTGTGTCGTATAAAAAGGATTGTAACTACGGTAAAAACCATCAACGTTTTTCCTTGCTTCATTGACAATTTTGACTGGTCATTAGCTGCCATACTCATCTCGAGCGATACAGTCGTCTGCTGAAGTGATAGAGTGTTGTTGACCTGCAAGTTTGGACATTAGAATAGAGTCAAGTGATTTGCAAACATGCTTACCGAAGTCTGAATTCGGTCTGCCACCTTGTCCATTTCCTTTATGTCATTAACAACGTGGGAGGCACTAAGACCAGCTTCTTGAGAGCCTGGAAGCTTTTGCATCTCCCGCTGAACATCTCGTTGGTATTGTGCGACCGCTTTGAGTATGTTCAGTTCGTCCCGAATGTCTTTGATACGGCTGGATAGATCCTCTGCCTTTCTTATGGCAACTAAATTGTTCTTTATGCGTGCTTGCCTCTTTCTTTCCAGCTCATTGTCGGTATCTGTTCGAGTTGATTTGTCGTCAATGACCGCCTGACAGCTCTCCACGCCAGGTTTCTTTATTCCGAGAGCAACCTGAAATTCTTTGATTTCATTTTCGTCGTTCATTGTGGCTAGTATTTCGCCGGCTTCTGAGCTAAACTTTGCGAACAGATTTGCTTCGTCGATACCCTAATTAACCTTTAGCCAATTCAATTGATCCCAACGTGATTCTTCACGTACGATTTTGTTGATGGAGTTCGAAAACATTTGACGCATGGACAAGAGCTCTGGCGGGTACTCCACAGAGGACTGAGGGTTAGGCGCGAACTGCCAAGTCGGGGATTGAAGCGCAGGCTCCTCGGCGGTACCATTGACTCCAAGGGTAGTGGATGAACTCTTACGTGAGGCCTTTGGCAGAGTCTCATAGGATGATATGCAGAAGTCGATGATGAGCCGACTCATTTCAGCCGTTGATCCCGGCAGGGAGCGACTACCACCGGATTCCGTTTGCTTTGTAAGATGGTCAACCACGCCCTCCAAGAGCACATTTTTCTTCCCATCAATTGGATGAGAAGAGGCTGTAATCAGCCACTCTGAGAACGTGTCAGCTGAGGTAGTGAGAAATGAGGAGAGCGCCTCCGGACATACTATCTGCGATTGTCCAAATCCATAGCTGGTTAACTCGGATTAGTGGCCAAAAGTCTTTGTCCTCAATCTTGCCTGGTAAGCCCTTAGTGACAACCTGGGATTCGTTGCGTGCCTTTCGGTCTTTGGAAGCTTCCTGATCAGATGCAAAATGGTAATACCATTCGTCAAGGGTGGAAGAGCCGTGGATAACTCCTGGTTTGTATGTGCTCAGCAGTTGTTCATACTTGTATTTCTCCGCACGCAGAGCCTGCAAAACGTTCTTTGGATCATCTTCGACATCCGGAGTCGGACTAAAAGGTTCCTCTCCTTCTTCTTCGCGACATTGAGTGGCGTAGGAGAGATACGGCATCTTCAAGAATGGGTTAGAACACAGCCGTTTCAACACAGGCAAAGTTCTGGCTTACATAAACCGCCGATGCAGGTGTTTCGTTCTCTTGGACTGTTTCCACAAAGCGAGGCCTCATCATACGCGAGGCAGATATCTTGTCCGGCACTTCAACCCAGCTGTCTCTGAAAAACGACTTCACCTGATAGAATTGACTTGCATCGCTTTCCATATCATACATGATTCGTTGGAGCAGGTCCTAGCAGATCGTTAGTCAGGACTTTACGGGCAGTAATTGAAGAGGGACAATATGATGGCTTTACATTCATCCATCGAACCTATTGTCAAGCCTATCAGCCATATTCTCAAACGTACAATAATCCGACCTTTTTGCATGTCTGAGTACTGACGTTGGTAGATGGTAAGTGAATCCAAGTAAACTTGGGCTCGTTGTCGACGTAGATCGGTCGTGGAACATCATACAATGGTCCTGTCTCCCTGCCAAAGGAGTGCACACCGAGAATCCCTTTTACTTCTTGTATCATCTCGAGCATGATACGTTGCGGACCATGGCTGTAAATGGCTTTTGTCAACGGTCGATACCTCCGAATTATCCCAGATTGGTTCACATTCTTGTAAACCTGAACGATGGCAACGTCAAGCTCCTTCGCATACGGAGGGAGTTTGTGCCAGAGAGTCGGACGAGTGAAAGTAGGATCGTCTGTACACATCAGCCCGATGGGTGGGTCAAGAAAGATGTCATTGAAGGTATTTCTTATACCTTGCTGACAGTGAGCTGGGTGGTCTGTTGAAGCGTCTCTATCTTCTTCTCGGTCGATCTGAGCCTGTATCTTGTCGATGATAAATTTCGAGGTTTCCAGTGCCCGGTGCGTTGATTCCTCTCGCGGTGAGGCTGCACATTCAAGCCAGAAGACAGAGGGCAGTCCAGCATAAGCTGCCCATTCGAGCGTAGTCCACTGAGCTGTGTTCCAGTTTCCGACCGGGTGATGGAAAAGCTTTAGTCTTTCCATGATGAGTTTCCGGCCAACATCGTATACGCCTGATCTGCCAGCTGTCCACATTAAAGCTTCGAAAAGCTGACCTTTTGGATCAAAGCGGGCAATTTCCGCCTTAGACACCGAGGTTGCGTTCATGCCTTCAGAGGCGTAATAGTGAATGATTGATTTCACCATATGCCGGGTGCCCCATTCAATTATTAATTTCAGCGCTGCGAATGCGGCCTTTCTTGAGACTCTGAATCGATATTCTTCGGCTAGAATTAGCTCCACGATGTTGTCCTGGAGGTGTAAGATGGCATAATCCAAGGCAGTGCGCATATTGCTTTCATGGGAGTCCCAGCTCTTTATGCATATTGCTCCCAAGTCAGCACCGGAGTCCAACAAGACTCGAACTCCTACCTCATATCCCAAACTAGCAGCAAGCATGAGTGGCGTCAATCCGTATTGGTCGGAAACATCAAGCTGCAAATCTTCATCTTCTGTTCGTGGGCAAAGCAGCATTCGCATGATGGACTCCACCTTCCTATCCGTTGCTACCATCAAAGGAGTGTTCTCAAACTCGTCAACAATATTGAGTTTAGCGCCATTGGCTAGCAGGATTTCTGCAATCTCAGGGTTGCGGTGGTAAGCTGCGAGATGAAGTGGATTCAGATGCGAGTGTTCCTCGGAGAACTGGAGTATCGATCTGTCGTTTTCCAAGAGAAGCTCCACGATATCCTCCGCGCCGCTCAAAACTGCGAGCGAAAGAGTCGAGTTCTCTGCCTCGGTTAAGATCTTAATTGAGACTCCATTCTCGAGTAAAGCTTTGACAACGCCGGGCTGATTTCTCAAGCATGCTGTGTGGAGGGGAGTGTGACCCGATTCGTCTCGGACCTCTTGCTCTGCGCCGGCGCTGATGAGCACTCGAGCTGCTTCCGTAAGTCCATTTCGGGCAACAATATGTAGGGCTGTCATATCAGAGTCTCCTTTGGCGTTGATGTGGTCCCTCCAAGGCCCGCGCAACATTTCATCGAGTTTCTTCGTGCCGACATGCTCCATATCACCATTCCACATGTCTCGGTCATCGAGAAATTGATGCATATCCTTTGTTATCAAGTCGTGATCGCCTTGCTCTGGACTTTCATCAGGTTTGACCGCAGCTGCATACGCACTGGGACTTGTGGTCTTCTCTTCCCCGCCATCATCGAGGAACACCTGAATCTCTTCACTGATAATTGGTGCTACTGGGGTCGCAACTCCAGGATTCGTAGTGTTATCGCTAGAGGACGAGCTTCTGTTCTGCTCTTGGTTGTCTTTAGGGCTGTCGTTGCCGTTGTGCTTAGAGTGGTGGTTGATAAACGTGTCCTCAGGGACGGGGCTTTTCCTGTCACTAGTCGTCATTTCGTTGTCAGATGCTGACAGGTTTCCTGGAGCACAGGTGCGGGAGCGCAACCGTCGAAATGACGCGGGACATCGCCATCAAATATGATATCTGCTACGCTCCAGGAGACCGTGACCCATAAGACCCCCCGTCATTTACCTGCGGATAAATGAAATGTCACTGCAGTCCTTTACGGCGTTGTTGGTTGCACAGTTGCACTTGACCAGATTTCTATGAATCCCTGCCAAGGTGCAGCATGCCATGAGCTGAAAAGCCGTCCCACCGGCGAGACCGGAAAACAGCCTGTAGAATGAGGATCCATTTCCTGCGAGCATGCAGGAAGCCGTTGGACGTGCTTGCGCTCTGGGTGTGAGGTATTCACTGGTACCCCCAAGCTAGGCTATCACTTCTTGACCTGCATAACTCGTGATCAATACGGCCGATGCGATCTCATTCTCACCAAAAAAGAGTTTGAAACGACCAATCAAAGGCCATTACTACCCGCTGTAGTGATTGAATCATGCGCAAGGACGGAGTTCGGCTCCGAATGGCAAAATTCCCAAAAGTTATGAATACAGGATGACGTGCCGTTGGGTGTCATCGCTGTTGGTTCTGTTGTTCTTAGCACAGCCTGAGTACCTTGTTATCAAAGAAAGTTAATTCTTTCTAAGTTATAAGTATAAGAATATAGTTTTAATAAAACAGTATAGTACCTACCTAGTACTTAAATTAAGATACTTTTTTAAGCTTATTATAAAAAAAAAATAATTATACTACTAATTACTTATTATTAAGGTCCGTAAGTAATACTATAGCTTTAATTACTATAGCTTTAACTATAATAGCTTTGCTTATAATAAGTAAAAAGTCTAGTTATAAATCCCTTAAAAGCCTTTTATTAAGAGCTGTAAAAGCTTTTAAGTTAAATTAAAATACTTATTAAAATACTAATAACTAAACTAATTTTATAATAATAATTTTAATAAAAAACTTAAAAAAAAACGCTAAAATTTTTATTATTATTAAGTACGATTTATAAAGCGTAATAACGTAGCTATAGAATATTATTAATATATTTTATATTAAAAAGGGTATTATTAGTACTAATAAAATAAATAGGGCCGTATTAATATAATACTTTAACTTTTTTTTATAGCTCGAGGATAATTACTTTAAATAGTATTAAAAGTTTATTAAAAAGCTCTCTTGAGTATTTTAATATATTTATTATTATTTTTATAATAATAAGACTCTTAGTACCTATATATAAGAATAGGTTACCTATTTCTAAATAGTAATACTAGCTTATTAATAAGTTATTAAAACTACGATTCTAGCGATCCCTTAACGAGGGAGAGGGTAGAATAGAGGAAAGGATAGGAGACTTATAAAAAGGGTTAAGGTTGAATAGTGCAGAATTCGAGGGTAGGGTAGCGTCTATATGTACTGCGGTAATCCTCTAGTAATGCAAAACGATGGAGTTAAATAGTGTTCTTGGCACAGCCACCATGGCTTTTGCGGCGGCTGGACCTCCCAAGCAGTGTTCCATACAGAAATAGAGGGTTATTATAAGTTCCGAGATGAATCTTGCATAACGAAGGGAACTAATGTGTAGAATGTGAGGTCGTTGTATTTTTCAACAAGTCGGGGTGAAACTCATGGAACTACAGGTCGCTAACATCGGACTCGCCATGGAAGTCGTAAAACACAAGTGAGCTATCCCTCCCTATCTCACTAATCTCCATGCTGCATGATCTCTTAATTCCACTAGCCTGCCGTCATCTGTCGATGACTCAAGGCAGAGTCCGACGAGAGGAAGCCAACTCCCATCTCTCCATCGCTCAGGCATGTCTCGTTTCTCGGTTGCGCAATTATGAGGAATATTCGGTAGCAATAAGGTCATGGTCGGATGGCCTTACAGTGTGAGCAGACTCGAGGGCGCTTGAAAGGGTGGCACAATCTCATGTACAGGCGATTCTTCTTGAGAGTAAGCTCCATCACATAGCCACTGCGCTCAATCATCTTGCCGAAGAAGCGCACGCCTCTCTTCTGAGAAGGCAACCACAAGGTCTGAAGATCGTCGGCGTTTTCCTCCTCCCACTCAGCTAGCTCAGGAAAAGCGGCATGATTGATGCGTCTGAGGGCTTTCTTGTGACTTGGGTCAGGGGTGGTCTTCGTATGAATGTCATGCCACTGGCCAACCACAATGGCAAGTTCAGTGAGACTCGGAAGTGCTGCGAGGACAGTAAGGGCCGCACTGAATTCGTGGCGAAGGGGAAGATGAATCCGACGGATGCAGTCAATAAGCGGTGGTGCCTGGGGCGTAGGTAGATGAAGAGACTGTCGAAGCGAGAGTGCAGCCAGTTGCATGTTTGCCTCGTCCTTGTCTGCCACGAGCGGAATGAAGCGATCGATAGCAGGGAGAACCCAAGCGTCAATTGGAAGTCGTTCAGAGACGTAAGTACGATAGATCTTCCCCATCGGATGACGAAGGAATTCTCGATGGACCAGCGACCGACTCATGCGATTGATTTGTGAGGGAAGCTGAAGTCTGCGAAAGCGGCCTCGGAGGTTGACCTTCTCGCGTCCGTTCTCGACGAAATCCTCAAGGAAGACGACTTTTGAAGGTGTCTCGTGAACGTAGGCGAGCCACCAGATGATGCCTTTGTCGGCTTCTTTGGCGTCGGCAATTAGGTGGTCGACGATGAGCAATAGGATGTCCATAGACAGCACCATTGATCCCTCCTTTCCATCGCTGGTTGGTTGGTTCGCCATGATGCGGAAGTCCCGAATGTATGGTTGCGAAACTTGCTGCCGAAGGTGTGTTCGTAGAGGTTCAATCGGTCAGGTTGCTGTCCAAGGTCGTCGTATGTGAGCAAGTCAAGCGATTAAACGCTCATCGATTGACTTTCAACTGGAGATCTCAGAGTCAGTAAATCTCATGAGGTACAGGCGCAGAGAATGAGCGCACTTTGTTCCAGCCCTCCGGTGATAAGGACCGCGAACCTTCTGGCGAAGGATCGAAACAGCTGAGATTGGCTATGCTTGGAAGAGAGTAAGACGAGAGAGAACAGAGAACGTAGACAAGGAATGCAACTATTCTTTCTCGCTCTTTCCTCATTTTTCACTGGCTAGGTAGCTCCTACCTGAAAACACAAGCTCTTTGAAACGGGAAGGCACAATTGCCTGAATACTGCTGCGTTTGCACAAGAGCGGTGATATCACGTCACATTATTGAGGTGGATAACAAAGAATCCAGCGGAATACCCAAGGACAGGAATGGTTTTGTTCGAACATCCACTCGTGTTCTTGCCTTACTCAAGATAGGATATTTGTGCCTGTAGATACTCACCCTAAAGATACTTAGGTACACTGTAGATACACGGATAGCTTTGATCAACACATCATACTTATCCTAAGATATAACTGGCCAGGAAAATAAGTGCCTACTGTTCGAACAATATTCTTCATACGTCTCTAGCAATGTTCAATGGACATCCGGTGCCCAAGGTGATATTGATTAGCTAAATAATTACACTGAGTTGAAATTAGAACCCTTGAACATTGGCCGCCTGGCGCTGATAATTTATCATAGGTGTAGTATAGTCACAGTCTGTATCGCAGCACATACCTAAGCTCAAGTGCTGTCCTGAAGACGATCAAGTTTTACCCCATCAATATGGCGAAGGCAGATTATTTCCGAATTTGGCCCAAATTTCCTCTACCACTCGTTTTTCAACTTAGGGATGTAGTCGGAGTAAAGATAAGCTTAACCTCTGTTCATTTTGATCTTCAACATTTGCTTCTGTCTTTACACTGTCGATGTTCCGTAGTTGATGGGATACCTGGCCATGCTCAAGACTCCAACAAAAACACGGTTGACGTTAACCTGTCAAAAGGGGAAGGACCCCCAGTTCCACGCTAAAAGAAATATAGGACATTCGATTGATATAGAAAGAAGAAATAATCTTGAAAGAACGGGATTTTAGTGATTGAGTAATACTATGAATTCAATACTGTCGGAAATCGACTAAGGCTAACCGGAGGTCATGAACGGAGCCCCGGGATTACCGCGGTTTGAGGAGTAGGAGCAGGATAGATCATGGTTTCGGAGTTCCAAATTGCGCATTCGGATCCGAAGACAATAAACAATCCGCCGTCAGCTAGACGGTATTTACTCCACATTGAGTGAGCATCTAGTTCTACAAGTCTCCGAAGATATTGTCCAGTCATCAAAGTGCATGTCACATTGTGAGCATACGGCAATTAAAGTTATGGCAAGCGAATCGTGATGTGGGTACCAATTACACTCATTTAAGTGGGCGGCCAGACTTATCCCTGCCAACATTTACTTGCGCCGCCGTTGCATCAAGTCACTTGAAGCCTGTGCTGGGATAAGGTAGTCAAATGCTCTTCACAGGCAGATAGTCTTGGTTTCTTCATGACGAGAGACTTGATCGTGCTGCATTTACCTTCACTCAGGTGCTCAGGCACCAGCTTAAGGTGAGATCTGTATCGAAAGATGTAGGCAACATCATGTTAGGCAGCAAGTGTAACATCGAGGCAGTGCTTATTTTCGAGTCGCCCTTGTACGACAATAATTCTCACGCTAACACAACTTCGCCTAGGCACATCGACGTAATTGGCATTCCCAGCACGTTTCTCATTCGTTCAATGATTCCAGGTAAGATTAACGGCCGACGGCGCAGCTCCGGCTCTCACTCAGGTGTCTCAAAAACATGAGAATTTCTCCAACCAGGCGGTCCAGCCCTGCGAGCCCTGCGAACTCTTGCGCCGACTGCGCCCGGAATCCTCCCGCTATCATGGGATAAATGCAGCGAGTCGTCGCGGTCCCTTCGCCGCGAAGCTACGGGAAAACCAGTCTATAAGCTGACTGCATCCAAGATAAATCGCCGGTTTTTTTCTGGTTCCTTATAACATCCGAATTCGATTTGCCTTGCCTTGTCAAATATCTGCGTACACCCAAAACAACAACTCACGTCTTTCCACCAAACACGATCACCCTTCCACCAAGATAAACTCCAATCTCCACAAAAATGCCTGCTGTCCAGCTCTCAGAAACAGCCAACAGCGCCATGCACCATTTCCTTTCGGCGCGCGACTTCGACGACGACTACAACGACGCGCGGAACAAGGCCAGAGCAATCGGGGGTGGCGTAATCGCAGCCATTGTTGTCGTTATCGTCCTTACCATTGCCGGCGTTATTTTCGCCATTATTAAATGCAGCCGCAGCAGGAAGAGACGGGCGCAAAACGAATTGGAGATGAAGAAGTACGTGGGCGGAGTTCCGGTCACCGATGCGGCAACGGCGTGCAACACGACCGTCCCGGCGCCCAGCGGGGGGGACATGAACGGATACGGGTTTAGCGGAGGATATGTTGCCAACGACGGAATTGCAGGCACCGGCAAGGATGCCCACAACGCGTCGGATGCGATGCCCCCGGCGTACACTGCAAACAACGGCCCGACGGCGAACTAAATTCTTAACGAACGACAACGAAGACAACAGATAACAATAGAGGCTGGGATTGGAGATTATGACTACCTATAGACATAGCGTTTCGGAAGAGAGCGAACAATCGTTAGGGCATTTCTTTTGTGATTCGAGAGGAAAAATCGATCCCGGGTGTTCGATAGCAATAGCTCAAAGCGGGCTGGGAAGAAGTGGAGAGGGTAGTCGGAGGGGCGCATTTATCATGCTGGATCATGAATTTCAGAGGAAATATTCCATATCGCATCAGTCGTTTGTGCAAAGCCAAGATCAGAAGCATTGATTTTACTCATGATGAAAATACAGGTGTGAAGACAAATCTGGTAAATATGCACAAAGAAGTAGAAAGCCAAGTCGACGGATGCAAGCGTCTTCCTCATCCGCCAAGCTTGAACCTGGTGAGTGCTTCTCCAATGACCGTTGCATCGTCAAAGACTTAGTCGTAGTCTTAATGTCCAAGCTTGAAACCACCCCAGTTGAGCTTGCTAAACACCATGTTAGGGTCGTACTGAGCTCTGATATCCTTCATCTTCTGCAGGTTACCCTGTCCGTAAGCAGGGAAAGGCTTCTGCCACTCGCCCGCGTCGCCCATGTAGACGAATTCGGTCGCCAGTCCCAACTCTTGGTTGATCTCGTGGTGGTGGGCGAGGAAGTTCTGGGACCAAGCGGTCATGCGGAGGTCGTCCTCGGGGCGGGCCCAAGAGGTAAGTCAACATACCCACTTCCTGGCACCCCCCTGTTTCTGGCACCACAAAAACGATGGGATCACAACCCAACCTCCTCATTACTATTAACTATTGATCCTCAACCACACCCACTACAATACAGCTGCCAGCCTCACTAGGGCATTCAGAGTCGCTGGATTCAGCCGTGATAACCTCCTTTTCACCCGCTTCGATTTGAGCCCGATGGATATCCCTGATGTTCGCGAACTTCGTATTGGGATCG